TATACTTAATATAATAATGTATCTAATTTAATTGCTGTCTTTTACTTTTTTTTTTCCTTTGTAGTGATGTACTATTTCTTGTTTTTCTTCCTTTTTGTTTTTTTAGTTCAATAAAAAATTAAAAATCAAATAATTGACTTTTAAAAAAGTAATAAATATCTTATTCAATTAAACTATATTTGAATTACTAAACTAATAAATAATCGGTTCAAATATTAGTTCTATCTTTTTATTTTATTCTTTTTACAATTTCTTTTTTTTTAACCGTTTTTCTTTTTACAATTAGAGATCGAAACATTCAGACTTTTGATGGAACCTTAATTCAAATGGCCAAAAATTATAACCATAATGTTAACCATCCCGTGGTTTAATAAAATACTTTATTGGGAGGTTAGCCATGTCATTAGCATGCTTAATTATCATAGTAATTATTACCATATTGGGTTAAAAACATTACCTAATTTGCTAATACTGAGCAATAATTCCTCTCCAAATTCCCTTTCTTTATATATAGTTTATGAAAATCATTGTTTTTTTTTTGAAGTAAATCTATTTGGTATAGGAAAAAGAAATGTGAAAAATATGAGACTACTCGAGTAATTGTGATAGAGATAAGGAAAAGCAGAAAAGGAACCCAAAGTTAATAAATCATAACTATTTTTTATAAAAGAGCATTGTTGAATTCTACATTCTTCTCCCTTTTTAAGGATGAAAAATAAAGTCGAACGAATTTGAATCTCGATTGAAAACCTTTAATCGAGTACCTAGAATTTATCAATTGAGTCATCGTTGATATATTTCTCGACTTTATGAAAACAATAGTTATCATTGATTGTAGCATTCTATTTCGTGAAACTAGTAAATGTCTTTGCAAATTTTAATTCTTTATATCACTACAAAGACAAAACTTTTGTCAACACCAAAAAAAAGTCAGGAAAAATTTATAAAACGTCGGGAATGATTTCTCCCGCCGAAAGATCATCTGCATATATCATTCGAGAGAAGTCATTCTCAACGTTTTTTAAAAAAACGTCACGAAAGGTCACCATATTTTTCTAAAAAGGTTGGGAAAAGTGAGACCTTTTCCGATGTTTTCTTAAAAAAAAATAGGGAAAATTAAAAATTTTCCTCATTTAAAAACGTCTGGAAAAATGAGGCTTTTCCCTACATTTTCTAACACACATCGGGAAATAGATGCATCGGAAGAAGTAATTTTCTCCACGTCGAGAAAATGTCGGAAGAAACCAACTTTGTTGTAGTATGTAAAGCTCACTCTAGAGAAAAAACCTCTAATTATGAAAATAAATTTTCTTTTCTTTCCTTTTTCTATATAAAAAATATGAAGTTGTCATACTTTTTTTTACACAATTGGAGAAAAAAGAAAATGGCAGAGATATGAATATGCAATTAAAATTATAGTTTAAATCATACTCTGATACTACTCAATTTTTATATTATTTTCATCGCGTCTCTGAACTATGTACTTTCAATCCCTCAACTTCTATATATTATCTTTTACTCCTTAAACTTTGTGTAAAAAAAGTTATTTTAGTCATTCTTTAAAAAAAATGCTAACAATTTACCAAAAATATGAATTATTTCGAAATCCGATACCCAACACCAAATCTGTATGTGACTTCATATATTTGTCTACATAAATATTGACGAATTAGGTAAATAAACAAAAGACATGTCTATTCTAAAAAAAAATAAAAACAAAAGACATGTCTCGTTCAAGTTTTTTATTATATAAATTTATAGAAAATCCAATACAGCAGGAATTACAATATAGTTTTTATGCAAAGTTCGAGGACAAAACTATAGTATTTGAAAGTTTTGGGCCAAAATAGAACAAGCATGAAAATTTAAAAAAAAAAAAAAACTAAATTTAAACTTAAAATTAATTAGTTATAATTATAAGAGGAATTTTTATATATTAAAAAATTGGACAAATATTCAATAAATAATTCACTGAATTACTTTCTTTTCTCTCGCAAATTATGAGAATGTTGGATTTTTACATCCCAATTTGACAACTGATCGGACATCCAGTAAAGGAGACACATTCCAATGGGCCATATGGGCTTGGCCCAGTCTGACACCAAGAATGATGGAATTGAATAATAAATAAGAATGTAAAAAAAAAAAACAAATAAATAAATAAATAAAATCCACCTTTTCCATTATTTTTCAATACTTCTAAAAATATCTACTAGTACAACAAAATGAAGTTATTGAAGTTTGAACATCTTTCCTCATAGAGATGAGTAGATACCAATTTTTTTAAAATAAATGTAAATTACTACTAAGTTATATTTACATTTAAAAAATATTTCATTAATTATTACACAAAGTCATATAAATATTCATATTAATGGAATTTTTTTTTCTCCCATATATGCCCCACTTCAATAACTATATTCCAAATATGCCTCTCAAAAATGCAACTTACAAGCTTCCCTTTCTTGCCCATGGTATAGAACACATCCACCGGTTCGGTTCGGTTGAGCCAAAATTTCACTTTGTAGCATAAATTTGGTACATATTTTTATAAATGTCAAAATTGTTCATTCGCGTAAATAAAAACTATTTATTCTATTTTTAAAATTTTAAAACTTTCTACTCTATTTAAAAATATTTATGTAATTGTCTAAATAGTTTTTTGGTTGCAAGGCAATAATACTTACGAATAGCAGTATTAACCATAGGGCATTTTTGAGAAACTAAAGTGTAAAGGGACAAAACTCGAAATCACAGCAAAATATAAAAAATACATACCATAATTTTTGTACATTTTTTAAAATGGAAAATCTTTTAAGTCTGACTCGTGAGAACCTATTTCTATGTTAGTCACATTGAGAAATTTACATCTCATTATTTAAAAAAAAATAATTATTATATTCTTACATTTTTCTTACAATTAGTACTGGCACAAAATAAATAAATCTCACGAGTCAAACTTAAGAATTTTACTTTTAAAATTGGGCCGCCCAAATAATTTGAGCCCAACTCTAGTCTGAACTCTGAATGATTGATTATTAGCCCATGGGCTTACAGCTGTCACCTAAAGCCCAAATCATCCATGTTAATGGGCTTAGATTTTTAAATTAAAAATAAGAGATAATATCTTTGTTTTAGAAACTTATTTACACAAATATCTAAAATTTACTAATTTTACACTTTTAAATTTGTAAGATTTTATTTTAATTTCGAGTTTACCATTATTTATTGCATTTACATTTATTATAGTATTTGTTTTTTATTTAATATAAAATATTGTTAATAGGAACAAGAAAGTGTTTATAGCCGTAGCGAGATAAACGAGAATACTCATCCGAGTTGCAGGAACATGTACATACAGAATATGAGAATTTCCACCTTGTTGAAGATCTAGTGGTGCTACCCGAAGACTTAAATGAATAGTCATCGCTGTTAAGAACAACCGAGATCCAATGAGAATTTGCGCATAGCTTCTGGCCTTTGACATCAAAAAAGAAGGTTGTAATAACGAAAGAGACATGTGAGAATTTGGTCCTAGCTAGTGGAACAAGAAAGACATGCATCTATATTCAATACACAATCAAACGATTTAATTTCACAAATCATTATCCCAACCCTTTAATTATTGTGGACCCCATACTAATTTTCAACACAGATGCTTTCATTCACCCCTTCAAAACCTTAATTTACTCCTTCAAAAAGATTGATTTTCTTGATTTACCAATATTATTAATAACAAAAATATCCAAATCTTAATGGCCCAACACTTTCTCACCAAATAGTTTTGTATTCTCAATTTTGCTATATACGAAACCTTCATATATATCCGAATATAAACTAAATTTCATATAAACTTCCTAAAATCACTATTAATAACTCACTCTCCAACTACGACCGGATATAAACTAAATTCCATATAAACTTCGGTTAGTAACTCACTCTCCAACAACAACTCTCGGATATATCCGGATATAAACTAAATTCCATATAAACTTCCTAAAATCATTGTTAGCAACCAACTACAACCCTCGGATATATCCATATATAAACTGAATTCCATATAAACTTCCTAAAATCGCTATTAGCAACTCACTCTCCAACTACAACCCTCGAATATATCCAGATATAAACTAAATTGAAAACATCCGTTGGAATGCAAACCTTTTGATCTAGAGATGAACTGCTCTGGCGACTGAAAAAAAATGGAGGCGGCCGAAAATGAAGGCAGGCAGATGTCGACCGGAGACGACGACAAGCACCGGAGAAGAAGAATCAACGGAAATCTCCTGAGAAGGGGATAAAAGCAAAGCCAGTCGGAGAGGAAGCCAGATAGCGACAGACAGTCGGAGAAGAGAAATAAATGGTCGGAGGAAGAAAACCCACGGTCGAAGGAAGAAAAGAAAAGCGAGGAAGACGAAAGGGGTGGGTTTCGAAAATTGATGTTTTTTTGGGGTTTTGAGATTTTTTTTTATTTTGGAAAGTATGGGATTTGACCTCCCAATTTACCGATTCTAGCTTTTAATAATTATTTAATATAGATATGAATCTTAAGATATACTAGTAATTTGTGTGATGGGTACCATGTAATCAGGGATTGTTTTACGACAAAAGCGTAAATTTTATATTTTTCCATTGATTATGATTTCTAAATAGACTAATATTCCCTAAAAATAATAATAATAATTTACTCTTACATTCTGAGATTATTCAATTATACCCTTCCTAGTTGATAACAAGTTAAGATAGATACTTAGTAAGTTCAAAAAAGTTGGCAGCTTAAGAAAAATCGAAATTTCTCCCAACTTTATAGAAATTTTTAGTAATTAGAAACTTGCTTCTTTTAGGCCGTGGTATAATTCATCTTTAAATTTTTGTCTCTAGCTAAGTATCATCCTACTTACCTAAACTTATCATCAGCCAAGTTTATCATTCACTAACGAAAATGGTATAATTGAAAAAAAAAAAAACTAAAATTGATATACGGACGTATAAATATTTCCATCAATATTTCTATAAATCAAACATCATAACATCAATGATATTCAATAAATTAGCAACCCGTCAATTGTTCCTACTAAACCGAACTGTCCGACATCAATATTTCTATAAATCAAAAGGTTCGACACCGATATTTCCACGAACGAAAAAGAAGTTGATGTTCACACATAGCCTTGCTTGTGCCTGCGGAAAAGGCCCTCAGATTTGGCATTCTTTAGGGCACAAAAGGCCATCAAATACACAAAAACAAGACCCAACAGAGCAATCAGCAGAATTAAGTCTGCATTTCTCCATTCTTCTTTGAGGTTGGCCAGAAGCCCAGCCTTGCATGAATCACACCCAAAGCAAAGCTGGCTCTGCTCGTTGCTCCATTTCGAGCAATCCGCTGTCGCCCCAGTGCTTATCGGACTGATCCAGTATGTCGGGTTTACGAACGTGAACCCACAGTCCGTCGGTGGCTTACAGCACCCCGACTAAAAAAAGCATACGTGTAAAAGATTAAATATATATATATATATATATATATATATATCTTAGTTCAAGATTAAAATGTAGAGTTTAGTTGATATACTTTTGAATTTATTCTTTCTTTTGGTTCATAAACTTTTGAGAGGTTTGTTTTAGTCTCTATATTTTAAATAAAATAACAAGGCTTCGACATATGACATATTCGATATAGTTTAACAAAGACTATTATTTTACCTGCAATGGGGTGATGTGGGCATTGAAGAAATCTTGAGCTGATCTATAGTTCTGATTCAACTCAGCGCATATAGTTGTGGAACTGAGGCAGTTTCTGATTCTCTCCCATTTATGAGAGCTTCGAACCCTTCTTTGGAGCCAAAGGGAGAAGTCGTCGAGGCGATATTCCAAGTAAGCTCGGCTCGGTTCGACGTGGCCCGACCCTCTAACAGTGATCGAGAACACAAAGAGAACCAAGCTGCCAAGCAGGATGATGAGAACAAGCATGGCAATGAGGTAGAACATCAGAAGCCACGAGATTCTCCAAAACGCTCCGAGGAAGCCCGCAAGAGCCACAAGGAAGATGACGATACCAAGCANCACGCAGGCATTGTCGGCCTCGGTGGCGAGCCAGATCCCGGCGCCGATGATGGGAATCGAGAGAAGCAAAGCGATGAAGTTTATGCCTCCGACAACATTGTTGCTCAATGCCATCTTGAAAGGGGATGTTTGGGAGAAGTTTTTGTAGGTTTTTTGGTGAAGCTTTTAAGGGTCTTGTTTGCCCTTGTTGTGGAGGAATTTCTTTTTAGGGTTTTCATGTGGAAATGAAAGCCAATGAAAGGAAGCAATCACAGTTTTCTAAGCACTACTTTCTTTTTTATGAAAAGGAGAAACTTGTCCATATGGGAGAGGAAAGAATAATATGACAATGGAAAAAAGATGTTCTTATGGAACCATTGTTAGAGAATTTGTTATTTTAAAGAGAACAAAAAATTGTAGAAAGCTTTGCCAAAGGGGTTAATTTTGATGCTTTTTCACATGAAATTAAAGTTTGCATCTTTATTCCATGTGAGATTTTGTTATTTGAATGGTTGAATATTGAGTGACAAGCTTCCTTTCCTTTTTTCTAACGTAGAGAGAGAATTTAATTTATGTTCTGTCTTTCTTAGATTTATAATTTTAGTTAAAATACTATTTTGGTCAATGAACTTTTGTGTGACTATTTTAACCTTTATTTACAAAATTTTAGTACAATTTTTATATCCAACAAAAAACTCTTTAATATAAAAGTTATGGCTACATTTTCAAAATATATTGAATGTAGTATCGTGTTGAAATTGTGATAGAGAAAAATGAGATAAAAATAAAATGAAATGACCAATCACTTTTTAAAACTATAGGAATCTAAATAAACGTTTTGAAGATACGATGTCTAAAATAGACAAAAATTAAAAGTACAAGAACTAAAATAGATATTTTAAAAGCGGACTAAAATGGACAAAAGCTTAAAATATTGAGACAAAGATAATATTTTAATCCTAATTTTATACGTGGAAAATTAAATTAATGTATCCATTTCTTGTTTCATGTTTTAAATTTGAAAAAAAAAATGTAGTCAGTAGTCATTACCCTTTTTTAGTATTCATTTTACTTTGAGAAGAAATAATTATTTTTCTAGGATAAGAAAGATTTGTATTTTGTAAATCAATTAAATAATATTTTAATGATAACAAATATTTTAATACCAATTATTTTTAGTTTTTGAAGTTTTTATTTAAACTTAGGAAGAATTTAATATTAATAAAACTACTCAAACGATACACATCCTCGACGAAAAAGCCATAAGTTCAAATCTATACCTTCACATATTATTGTACTGAAAAAAAAACTATAACTAATTTGTGATTTTATATGATTTTAAAAATTAATCCATAGTATAAAAGTGAGTTTCACAAGTCGAGATTTATGTTATCCATAGAATTAGTAAACTCACAGCTTAGATTCAATATGGGATAACTCAACTAATTGAGACATATATCCCTAACCAAAATGTTGTGAATTCGAATCTCTACCTATATATGTTGGTGTACTTTAAATGAAAAATGAAAATCGAGAGGAACATACCCAGTTAATCTCAAGTAGACAAATCTAATTTATAAATCAGACATCCCCTTTGTGTGCTACTTTATATCTAATAGCCTTGAATTCATCTAGTTTTTAATAGATAGTTGATTGTTAATTTAGTTTTTTTTTTTCTTTTAGAAGAAAACAACTTAACATAAAACAAATTTCGGAAAAACTAAATTGTCCAGCCACTAGAGACTTTGACAACTCCACTCTTCCCTCAAATCGTTTTCCATCGTTCGTCTGGCTAAGTCATGGGCCACCTTATTTGCCTCTCGACTGATATGTCTCATTGAAACTATTTCCATATCTTCCATCATCTGCCGAATTTCTTCTAAAAGCCAAATAATTTCAGTTTGATCTTGACACTGTCTGTGAAGTAGATGAATGGCATTGAGGGAGTCAGATTCCAAGTGAATTGGTTGACAGTGTTCTTGTCGAATCGCACGCAATCCCTCGCAAATAGCCATCACCTCTAGGTAAGTAATATTTCTTCCCGCTCTTATAATTCTACAGCCTGCTTTGATGACTTCTCCCTTCTTGTCTCTTAAAATACAGCCAATCCCGCTGATGTTTGTATCAGCTCGCCATGCTGCATCCGTATTTAACTTCCATGAATTTGACGTGGGATGTTTCCATCAAGCACCTGTATTATCTCCAATTCGCCTTATCAGGTGCAAGTCCTTGTTTGTCGACTTTTCTTTTAGATTTGTGTCTCGACCTGCACTGTTGATTATGTATCTGTCAATCGCCAATTGAATGTCTCTAGTTTCTGAATGAACACCTTTGAAAATTGATTTGTTCTGCATTTCCCAAATCTGCCAAGCTATTATCATGCTTCTTCTACGTTCTTCTTCACTCGCCTTATCCATTAGCCACTCCCAATACTCTTTTGTAGTCCAGTTTGTCCTGTCAATGTAGAAAAAATTTGCTTCAACAGGGGTGCAATTTATCCATATATCTTTAATTACCTTACATTCCCATAGGATATGTTGAGTAGTCTCTTCTTTTTTCCTGCAAAAAGGACAAAACTGATCAATAATAATTCCTTTTTTCACCAGATTAATTTTAGAAGGAAGAATATCATTATAACTCTTCCAACAGTAGATTTTAATCTATGGGGACACGTTAGTTTTCCAGAACTTCTTCCACCACAACTTTTGATTTTCGCCATTAGAAGTAGAACATTCTTTTGCTCGCTCCAATTCCATCCCCAAGTGATAGGCGCTTTTAACMGTGAAAAACYCTCTTTTGTCTTTATTYMATATAATTTCATCTTCTTGACTCTGTCGCGGTAAAGGAATTTTAAGAATYATTTCAGCTTCCTCMTMACAAAAGTTATCAYGGACAAGATTCTCATTCCACCTTCCCCTTTCACTCATTAGAMATGCCACABAATTGTGCTTCATCCCATCTTRGACATAAACTGGYGTGCMATTGCCTTCTCGAGGAATCCATGGATCATTTCCTATGGTAACAGCAGCCCCATAGTCAATAGGAGGTTACTGGAGGTTACCTGTTAGCTTGTGCAAAGAAATCAATTCTTTATGTGTTAAGTTTTGGTGGGGATCATCAGATACGACAAAGAAAATACATTGCTGGAGTTGGAAGAAGATGTGTATCAGTAAAGATAAAGGAGGTATGAGTTTTAAAGATGTGAGCATTTTCAATCAAGCTATGCTAGCAAAACAGTGTTGGAGATTGATTAGGAGTCCGAATAGTCTTTTTGCGAGGGTTATGAGGGGAAAATATTTTATTCATGGTAACTTCATGAGGGCTAAAATTGGGAAAAATCCTTCCTTTGTTTGGCGAAGTATAATGTGGGGCAAAGATTTGTTTGTAAAAGGCTGTAGATGGAGAATTGGGATTGTTAATTTAGTTAGTAAATTTTAAAAGGTTTGATTTATTTTTTCTAGACTCTCATATTAACACACTCTTAACGTTCATGTTATTTCGATTAACATGTGACGAAGTATGTAAAATCGAAGGGTAGGTAAATAATTTCCCAAGCAAAACAATAGAAAAACTTAGTCATCATGGGATGGCCATCATGGCCTAGTGGTCAATAAAGACGTAGATAGAAAATGGCTTAGAAGAAATGAGTTCAAACTAGGAATATTCATTTTTCCCACGGAACGAGGAATCCCATTTAAATTCTACGTGGAGCAGGGATGGAGAAATGATTAAACAATTAATTAAAATTTCTTTAGAAAAAATATTTAATTGAGAAATAATTTTAAAAATAAAAGAATGAACGAGAAAAAAATATCTCCACTAGGAATCCGATCTCCGTGGGGAATCACCACCTCGATTCCTGCAAAATTTCGTGGGAAATTTTGTAGGGATGGAGAATGAAAGGCGGCATTCCGTCCCGTCCCATGAACCTCCTTAATTTAAACTATGTTGGTCACCTATCTAGAGTTTAATATCCTATGAATTTCTTTATCAATCAAATACGATAAGCTCAGGTCATCCGTGATTTAAACAGAAAAACTTATTTTAAAAAAATTCATTTGAACCCAAATTTCCTAGTCAGTCCATTAAGGAGGGAAAAAAATGGAATTCACAAAAAGAAATTACCAATTATATCCATTGCTCTGAACCGAGGCGCCCTCTTCCTTCCTTATCCATTTTCTTCGCCCTCGAAATCGAAACAATGGCGGCGCTAAAAGCTTCTGCGATTCCAACAATCTCTGCACATCCTTATTCCTCTTCGCCATCGCCGTCTTCTTCTTCCTCCAGAATTTCCTTCTCCAGTAACCTCTCCTCCGCCATTAAGCTCCGCATTTCCTTCTCCGCCCCTCTCCTTTCGCTCGCTCCTCCCTCTCTCTCGCGAGATCGCGGCCGATTATGCTCTGCGGTTCAGGAGGTCAGTTTGGAGGAAGCCTCTGAGCAAAACCAGAAGAAAAAGCTTTACATCTTCAACTTGCCTTGGTCTTTCTCTGTCGTCGAAATCAAGGAGCTGTTCGGACAATGCGGCACTGTCACTGATGTTGAGGTAGGGGCTTCCTTCTTCATCCTTTGTTCTGATTTTGCTCTTCTTTTTTGAGTTTTGGATCTGATGGATTTTGTTCGAATGTGTGTTTCAGATTATAAAGCAGAAAAATGGAAGAAGTAGGGGCTTTGCCTTCCTCACAATGGCTTCGCCAGAAGAAGCTCAAGCCGCCATTGAGAAATTCGACTCTCAAGTAGGTCTTCTAATGCCTATTTCTGCTCACTTTCTGTTTGATTATTTTCCCCAATGAAATAAATGAGATTCTATATCTCAAAGATCACTTTTGGTATAGTGCTATTAGTAAACACCTAAAACTACTTTTAGAACTTTCACAAGTTACTTCTTTTATATATGTATCACGGAATGTCCAAGTCCGAGTCAACTTTAGCGGCCTATCTCGACTAACCTTAGAGGACAATATCTATTCTTACCTTACGATATTTAATTTAGTGGTCAAATAAACTCTGTTATCTTAAATAGGTGGCCACCAAAGAGTTTTATCTCATCCCTCCAAATTTTTGTTTTCTTTTTCTGATGTTTTGGTGCAACTAGGTTGAGTCAATTCAGGTAGTTTTAAAGTTTTTTCTAGCTTTTTTTTAGCATATGGATACCCACATTGCAAACCTTATACTTTCGAGGAGGGCTTGGATCCAAACCATAATGATCTCTCACTTGGAATGTTAGATATTCCGTAAATTTCTTGATACCAAATATTGTAGGGTCAAAAGATTATCTCATCAAATTAATTGAAGTGCTCATAAGCTAACCCAAAAAACTTATAGATATTCCTAAAGAAAGGTCTAGTTTATTTTTCTTTCATGAGAAACACATATTTCATTGATAATATGAAATATACAAAAAGGAAAGGAGTTACATAAGAGTTCTCCAATTCCTCAAGAGGTCATTTAGACTATAGCTAGAGAAGGAAGGAAAATAGCTTTTACACCAGCTAAGAGCTGTAACCAAAACACCATCAAAAAAGTTGGCAAACGGCTGGGACTTAGTTGAAAATAGAAGTGATTCCTGTATTTTAAGGATTAAGATTATTACTTCGAGTTCAAATTCCTTATCATCTAACATGAACATTAAATATTTAAGAAGATATCTCTAGACTCTATTCTGAATGTATCAATATTCGACTACGAATAAGGAAGTTAAAACCAGTCCTAAGAACTCAGGGTGTCATAACTCATAACTACTTCCTATTATGATTTATGTCATGACATACGTTTTGGTCATTTCATATTAATGTTTCATGAAAACATGTAATTCTAATTGAGAAATCTTGTGCTGCAGGAGATATCAGGAAGAGTTATAAAGGTAGAGTTTGCAAAGAGATTGAAGAAACCTCCTCCTCCAAGGCCTCCAGGTCCCCCTCCTGGAGAGACAGTGAATAAGCTTTATGTATCAAATCTTGCATGGAAAGTAAGATCCAACAATCTCAGAGAATTCTTTTCTCAAAGCTGTAACCCAACTGCAGGCAGGGTTGTATTTGATAGCCTCTCTGGAAGATCGGCTGGATATGGGTTTGTTTCTTTCGCAACTCGGGAGGAAGCAGAAACTGCACTTTCTTCATTGGAGGGAAAGGTAATTAACTTGTTCAAGATTGAATTCGTACTCTCAAAAACACAAAAACTTGACATAATATGCATGTTTTTAAGTACTATTTGATTGAAAGAGATTTGAAAAATTAACTTAGTACCATGATAGAAAACTAAGATTTTTGGTTCCAACTAATTGAACTAAGATTTTTGGTTCCAACTAATTGAAAAGTCGAGCATTCACTTTTACCTTAAGCTATAGCTTTGCGAATCTTTTATACTATAGTACTACCTAGGTTCAAACTACACAAACTTAGATTTCTCCAAGTATTGACCCAATGCCCCCTAACGGTCTATTTCATTATTCGCACACTGTTTGAAATCTCTCTCCCCTCATAGGAATTGATGGGAAGACCACTTCGCCTGAAATTTAGTGAAAGAAGTGTCAAAGAATCAGAAGAAGCAACAAAAGAAGACATCGTTGAAAGCCAAACGGAAGAATCATAGATCCACTCCAATTCCACATCACTTGGTAGAGAATTCAGAGAACAAGATTTTGATTGAGATTCCAACTATCCTCCTAAGATTTGCTTGTCATGTGATCTGTGTACATCTTGCAGCTGTTTTTGTAGTATTACAATATCACCTGACACCTGATATTTCTCAACCAAGAGTCTCAAACAAAATCTTCTCTTGGCGCTGCATAATATCAATTGTGTTATTTTTATGTTTCGATACTTCCAATGATAATGCTAGTAAGAAAGTTTATGCTCTCTGCATTTGAATCGATATAATGTAAAAGAAGACAACTAAAACATAAACATAATTTATCATATATGTCCTCTGTGAAAAGTAGTTTGAAGACATGATATTTTTGTTGTTCCTAAGTTGCCAAGACGTAGAAACCCCGATCAAATCCGCTTTGTATGTTGCCTACCAAAACTTCAACCTAATGCCATGAAAATTGGCCAGTCCCATTGCAGTGGATAAAACAAATGCATAAACAAGCAAAATAAATAAAGCCGAGATGGAGGATGCAGACAGGGTGTCAACAGATAAGTTAACTAGCCCAGTGAGTAGGTTTGCCTGAAAGGAGGAAAAGAGTATAAGAATGCATAAGAGATGAACAGCTAAACATGAGAATGAAAAATAAAAGAGATGTTACCAAAAGAAATGCAGCCAGTAAATTGCTGTTGAATGCTTCTTCAAGAAGTGAAGTTCCGTTACCAGCAACACAACCAGACAGCATTAATATTGCCAGAACCTGTAAAATAATGTTGCTATAAGTTTCTCGATAACATTACTCAGCCTATGTTTGCCAATAGCTTCTCGATTACGAAATCAAAAACAAAAATTTTAAGGAGGGTATTAACTTCTACCCTTTGAAGTTGAATTTTCAAAAATTGCCTTTTCCTTCGTTGTTTTTCTTTTCTTTTTTTTTTTTTTTTTTGAAAACTGGAAGTCAGAGCTATGCTCCCCTATACCCAAGGCCCGAACCTGGGAGACATCAAGAATTTTTTGTATTAAGCTCACCATAAAGTTCGAACTTGAGACCTCTAAGCAAGTATGGTCAAGAGATCCTAAAGCCCTAGTCAATTGGGCTACCCCTTGGAATGGGCTTCCCTTGGAAGGCTTTTCCTTATTGTTACAAATAAGTTTCTCAATAGCCAGAAAGAAAGTTATCCTAGTAGGGCCTGAACGAAGAAGAGGAAAGATAACACTCTTCTTGTGAGTGAGGACAGACATGTCATTAATCCTAACAAAAATTGGCTTGCAAAGAAAATCAATGAACATGCAACAATAAATCAGTCTCTTTTGGGTTATTAAAAGTAGCGCTAAGGCCAAATGAATCTAACCACCTTTCTTATACCATACCAAAATGGCATGTACAGTGTTAATCATTTCAAGGTAACATGCCCCAAATTTTTTCACAGAACGTAAAGTTTTTCTGCTGGTAAGAAAATGAAAGGAGTTCAAACCTGTAAATTCTGTGCCAGCACCAGAGTGACATACGCTAGGTTGCACTGCAAAAATAGATGTAATTGTAGCTTTATAAACACCATCATGAATGTAAACAGATGGATTAACAGAGAAATATCATTACCATTCTACGAGAAACTCTCTCAACATAGGAATCCAGAAGCACAGTTGCTATCCTGACACAGGCATTCAGATAAATTTTAGATGTTTAACTTCTGGTCGGGCTTTCTTTTCCTGAAAATGATATTGCAGATTTCAAGGAATTGAGTAATACCAAAAGAAAAAAGCAAGCATCCAAACTATTATCCTTGCTCTTCTATTGCTCCATAGTGTAGCAGTTGATTTTTTTCCAAAGAAGAGAGAGCTTCCCAATTGCACACCAATAAGGTAAATACTCCAGTACCCTGCGAATAGAATGATCAATTACTAGATAGCCTGTGCTTGCTTCAGAATATATTTATAGCCTGTAGCAGTGAAGGATTATAAGTTTGTCCTTCCCCAGAAAGGAAAAAGGATATACTCAAATTTACTTGATGCTCACCAAATATGCTAAAAAGTCCTTCCTTGTTTTGACTGATTATATCTGATTCCCTCTGATTTGAAAGAAGATAAGTATTTAACCCATATATCAACCAATACTGGTACCCTGGAGAATAAGATGCCTCGTAAACTTAACACAGATTCTGAGATAATACCTGCTAACACTGTATAATTTAATTGAACTATACCTACTAGAATTGTTGAACCAAAAATTCCAGAATACTGTGGAGGAATATTAATGGCAGTGGAAAGAATTGATACAGCAGAAAGCGTGAAAAAGAAATTCCAGTGCACTCCATATTCTCCCACATGAACCTACAAGAAGACATCAAAAGATCTGTTGCACGTATAAAGAATTCAAGTTAAAAAGAATTATGCTCCCGCATATATTTGACCCATAACACCAGAGAGTTTTCGGAGTAGTAAAGTTCATAGCTAACATATTCCATGACCTCTTCATAACTAATATATTTCATGACCAGCAGAAATGTCTAAAGGGAAATTGGAAAAAGCCATAGTTAAAGTGAAAGAAATTAGTCTAATGAGATGTCCTCCAATTGCACAATGTATAGCTTACCTCGTGTTCCAATCATGTTAGGATAGAACATATCACGGTTTCCTAGTTTGTGATTTGAAAAGTTATCCATCATGTCAAGATATAGAAGCATAATCTACATTAATAAAATACAATCGTGCAATACATCTTGAAAATTCCAGCTACATTTAACATTTATACATTGCTGTGATTGAAAAACCAACAAATAAACTTACCTGATAATCAACACCAGAAGTAGTTGTCAGACGAATAAATCCTAGAATGATAAGAGGAAAAACAGATTTTAATGCACCTTTCCGTTTTCTGAAAAAAAAAAACAACAAATTGTGAAATGTTCTGCCGCTGAACTCTACATACATATTGGTAATCAATGTTACCACAATAATTTAATACGAATGAAAAGAGAAAATAACAAGTTAAAACAAAAAAAGTATGAAAGCCATTCTAAACAATCATCCAAGTCGGGCACAAGTGAGAGGTTAGATAATATACCGTGAACACTGAATAATACAGGGAAGCTTCTTCATATGACTGTTCTTTCAAATTCTAACTTACTTTGTATTCGATCCAAGATTAAAAATAATGAATACCTTAAAGACAGTGATTCAGTCATAAAGTTTCAAGGATTTTATTCTTATTTGTATATGTTTATCCTAGTACCATAAAATTTTCATGTTTGATGTTTAACATTTGAGGAATGATACTTTTTTTTCTGTTTTTCTTTTTTTGGGAAGAAATCTCTTCTTTCGATCAGTAAATTAAGCATTTGTACTTGTCATAATTCGTACGACAGCAGTTGTATTTCATTATATCCATCCATTGCATGTCAATAGTTTGGAAATTGTCTCCTACTATACATTTCAATTTTTTTCTCATAAATGATTTTATTTGTGTTTAGTTGGTACAATCACTTTAGGGTAAGAAGTTCTATGTTCTCATCAATATATAATACAGGGTTGTGGATAACTCATAAAGCTCTCGAGAGAGAGTGATTGACCTCATGAATAGAAATAAATACCTATCAGGCAATGAAGATGTATGTACACATACAAGATAAAGGAATATATTACTCACGTGGATGGGACATTACGTGCCTGCTGAGAAACGAATGAATTTGCCAGCACAAATGAACCAACACCGAGATCCATCTGTAATACTCATGGTGTATGAATATCATCAATCAAATGAGCATATTATGACTATTATCATTAATTAACAGGATAAGTATTCTTTATTGAAAGATGAAGTATACTGTACGTTGAATGATAATTGAAAGAGTAGAAGTAATGAGAATAAGTACAAAAATAAGATTAAACGGATGGGGCATTAAAGAATAAAGTAGTAATTAAGATGAACGACCATGCTATTTCACGCTCTAACAATTTGTTTGTAACTGTAGAATCTCCCTATTTTAAATTAACTATTTGGACTTGCTATGCATGCACCCTATGGTGCCGCTTGCAATGCTTAACTCATATTTACTTTTTCATCTGAGACATTTTGGAGTTCCCATGGACCTTCGAAACACCCCTCCCTCCAACATAGGAAACAGAGACTAGGATCATTCACCCAAAAAGCATTTCTATGGTTAACTTATATAATAAAAGAAAATGGAAGGGACATGGATTGCTAATCATTGAGCCACACCACATCATGCATTCAAGTTTGTCATGTTTTTTTTTCTTTACCTTTTTTTCACTGTTATGTGTTACTTGAGGAGTTCACCTCTTAATCCAAAATTATTCTTGGATCAACATCCTATCCACAGCATAAAAAACGTCAAGAAGAGGCCACTTGAGATCCCATTGTACTTTAAGGTGAGCTATTGCATTCATCCTCGCAAGTTAGCATCATCTCCCATGAGATATGGAGAACACAAAACAAGAAGGTGATTGTGTCCCAGAAAAACAATGCAGAATCGTGCCTGAAACAGCTCCTTGTTAAAGTTTTATATACCAAATCAAGCCACCACACTTGACCCTCCCTCACCCCCTCCAAGAAAAAGCCTCTCATCATGTTCTCCAAATTGGCAGCAATCAAACTCCATATTCTAAAAATTGAAAAAGAAATAGATGGGAATACCATCTCAAAACTGATTGAATTAAACTAAGCCTATGCTTGAGTAAAAAATGATGATAAAATGACTATCAAAACAAGGGCATCAAGTAGATCGTCTAACAAACCTTAAAGATCAAAAAAATGAGCAGTATACATAAAAGGTCGAATAAAGAAGAAATAATAAAAATAATGATAATAATAAAATAAAGATTTTAAATAACTGAAAAAACTTACCAGACTTGTACCATAAGTCTCTGTCTTAGCATATCTTCTAGGGAATATTCTGAAATCAACGGCCAATATACACAAGCATGTTGTGAACATCTGCAATGACATTTTTAACCAAACGAATAAATTAGATGAAATGGGGATATGGACTGCATTTGAACAAAAGATGTGATATATAAACAATGATTTAAGAAGCATACCACAACCACCCTATACGAAGAAATATTTGCCTTTAGAGTTTGGTTTGCTGCCTCCAATGGAGAATGACTGCGGATTCTGTGTTGGGAGTACAATGGCTTTTTGTCAGTGCGTGATGCAGAAGTGACCTGTTTGCCCAGCAGCAGCTCATGCAACATTTAATATACTATGAATGTACAATAAGGATTATTTCCTACTAAACAGTACAATATTTAATATAAGAATAAAATGTCTTACCCTTTAGTTGCAATAGATAACAATAATAGTGAAATCAATAAAAGTGCACATGAGCATGACCATTCAGCTAGAACCTGTTAAATGAACAATTAGGAAAGAAAACCACCCATTGATAAGTCCAGGATACAAAATGAGCAAATTAAGTTGGTCTCAAATGAAAATAAACAAAACTTAGTCAATATAAGGCATTTCTTTTTCTTTTTCTCTTTTTTTTTTTTTAATATCCGTGATTGTCCAGACCAGCTTACGCTCATTCATTATGGAAGTAAAAAGGATTGCAAACGAAAATCATAACGATGAAATAAATCATCTCTCATTTAAACATATCACTCAGCCTCCATTTGAGTCTACAAGCAGGACATTCGTAGTTGAGAAATAAAAATTGCAGAATGAATCCTCTAAACATATCCTCAGTCCAGAACAGAAAAGAAGAAATAGAGATCATAACGATGAATTATAAAGCCTTTATGTGATGAACGCTAAATAAAACAAAGACTCTCTACAATAAATTCATAATAGATTTAATCTCCCATTTCAAGTTACTTACAGTGAAAAACAAGAGAGTGGGAATCACAATAACAAGAAAATCTACAGCAATTGCAGCCATGTATCGCTTCAAGCTCTTTGAGCGGATAGCTGGATTATCACTTTTCTTCAGTGGAGCATCTGGAAACCACCAGATTTAAGATTAACCACACAGCAAAGAATGGAAACAACAGTTTCATATATCTATTATACACTAATTCTCGAGGTTTTGTCAACCTATTTTAGCCTTTGAAAAGTACAAGAATGATGAGAAAGCTACAGTTGTATATTACTTCTTAGTACCTCTGTAAAATTAAAGGTTTGTTGTTGTTGAAGAGGTTTTAACTTGTAAGTTGCAAGTAGTTCAATAACCACTAATTACCTAACTACTACATTTTCAATCAGTAAGTTAGTTAGCCAATGGTTGGTAAGGCTCATACTTCCTTCACCTATATGATGTTCCCAATCTGTAACTCTGAGGAGTGATCCATGATACAAGGACTTCCAAAAATTTTGCTTGCCATTTCAAAAACTTGATTGCATTACAATCCTCCCTCATCCTCCCACGCAAGAAAAGGGGGTGGAGGGAGTTAATGCAACCGTCTCGCATCGTAATTGTCCAGAGAAATAATGATAAAGCAATGAAAGAGGACCCAAGTTAGAAGCCCGAGTGAGTTCAGTAGTCTATCGTTTGAAAGTTCAACTTGCCAAATGCTACTTCGAAATTCTTGTTAAGTTGGAAAAAGCAATCAATCGCTATCAATTATTTACTCAGAGAAAAGCTCTATGAAACATACCAAAAACGCCACTGGAGTTGAACGAGTGCCGAAGAAGCACCAGAATCTGCAAGCAAGAGAGAAGCAACCAAAAACAATTCAAGAAAAGAGAGAAGCACATCGCAGAAAGATGAGATAGAACGGAAATCGAAGGTAATTACAGGTATAATTGCAGAAAGCGCCGCAATTTCAATCATAGAAGATCCAGTCAAATTACTGACGAACCTGAAGATCAAGAGAAAATCAAAACGTCAAAAGCGAAAACGAAAGCAAAATTGAAGAGCAGAAACATGAAGGAAAAGGGCATTACTCTTCTTTGAGACGTTTATTGGGATTGAGAGAGTTCCGCAGAGAAGCATCCATAGCTGAACCTGAATGGAATACTGCGGAAATTGCGAAGAGAAACAGATCAAACTCTAATGCCTGTTCTTCTCCTTCAGCAGATTACAAATCAAACAAATTATGCTGAAATTGCCGGCGCGTTGCAGAAACGGCGATTTCTTCGCGGGTGTTTTTCGAGGCGATGGGGATTTTGTCGTACGATTTAGAATTTGAGGTTTTTCTTTCTTTTTTTTCTTTTTTTTTAGATGTAATAAATATATGGCAAAAGAAAGAGGAGAGAGGAATAGAGATTTTGCAATTAAACCTTTTATATAGTTTGATATATTTTGCCGGCTTGAAATTAACTCGTCAGGAATTGACACCCGCTTAGTACACGAAATTAAGATAACATGTGCTGTGGTGGTTGGTGATATATGTCAATTACGGTGAACTATACTCGTTTTGGTAATCCATAGTACTTGAAAACTTTTTTTTTTTGCAATTCAACATTTTATAATTATTCTTCCTTTACAATTTGATCTTAATATAATTCTTCCTTAAATTATTCTAAATTGATTTTAGGGTTTTAGTGTTTGTCAATGTGAAATGCACCTACCGATTCATATTTTAATTTGCTAGAGTTTTCATATCACATAATTTTCGGATCTTTTATCACTTCTAACACTATGTGATGTGTTACGCCAATTAAGGATTATGTGTATAAGAGTACAACTGCATTTTCATAAATATATAAATTCAAACTCAAACTCTCCTGAAAGTAGTCTAGATTGATATGTGACTTAATCTCTATTTTTTTTTTCAATTCAACAATTACGAAAGTGAATAATCAAACAGTTTTAACTATGCTCGAATTGGTCCACAGTTATGTATTCTTGATTTTTCATGTTTTTATTTTACTTAAGTGTTTATTCTTATTTATTTAGAAAGATCAACTTCTAAAACTAATGTTTCTTTTTTATTCAATTATTTAATTTCGTGAGCCTCCTTGCTTTCTTAAGCCACCATTCAGGAGTCGAGGTTGAGTTGTCGGAGATCCGTTGAGGCGGAGACTCTGTAGTGCCTGAAGAGGGAAAAGAGAGTTCAGTGTTTGCAGCCTTAAAGCCTTAACTTAAAGAAGGGAAGAACGATGATGTTTGGGAAGAAGCAGACTCGATGGTGCTCGAGAATAACCTAAACATGTTAATAAATAGATTATTTAAATTTTAATAATAAAAGTTAAAAATTATGTTTTGTAATTAACTCAACTAGTTAATATATATCAGTCGTGGATTCGAATCACCACCTCACGTGTTGTCGAAGAGAAAAAAAATAAAACCGAATGCTTGGTAGTTTACGTGGACAAGTCTAGTTTTGTAATGATTTTGTTTTCTATTTTTTATTTTTTAAATTTATGTTTGTTTCTTTACGATTTATTTGATATATTCTTTTTTTTTCATAATTTTTTAGTCAAATTTCAAAATAAAAAACGAAGGTTTAGAAACTACTTTTTTAGTTTTTTTAAATTTTAGTTCAGATTTTGACAACATTTACAAAANGAATTCTTAACTAAATTTAAAAAACCACACATTTTTTAAAGTTACTTTTCTTTTCTTATTAATTGATTTAGATTTTAAAAATGTTTATAAAAATTTTTATAACAAAACAAATAAACATAGAAAAAAAATGAAGAATTTTAACATGTTATTTTATGTTTTAACCAAATTGAACTATGTTAGTTCGCCACATCACGAATAATTGAACAAACTAAAGTCTATCGAAAAAAAACTGTAAATTCAAATATAGTTTAGTTAATAAAACAAAAATACCTCGAGTCATGAGGATAATTTATGTGGTCTCATGTAGATTATAGAGAAAAAGAATTATTATACCACGTGGAGTTAGGAGTTTATCTACTGCCCTTGCAGTTGAACTAAAAAGTAAAAAATAGAAATTAATTATATAAATAGCATAAAATTTATTTCTGAAAAAAGAAATTAATGAATAACATAAAATTAATATATATTTTTAAAAATAGCATAAGGTTTGAAATTTACAAAAAATAAGGATGTTGTCGTCGTTTTACCCAAAAAATAATGTGGGATGGGGTCCTTTGTCGGGATGAGAAAGGAAAATATGATCCCTATTGCTTACTTGCCCCTTCCCTTCGTGGAGAAATTTTACACAATTTTATAAGGAATTCGGCTAACAATTCATCTTAATATACGATAAATTGCTTACCGCAATCAAGATGATTTTAGGAAAAATTTGTTTAATTAGAAAAACGATAAACTCTACGAACGTCGGATCAATTAGGATGAGTTAGATAGTGAACTTTGGAGATGACATGCAAAATAGAGCGAGCACTCTGATGCCAAAATCAATGCTAAATCAACTCAAGAGAAAAAAATGATATGTTTGCGTACCTTTAAGGTGTAGTGAATGAGTCTATTTAGAGTGACTTCCTCGACAATCCTCTCGACAACGTCCCAATGACTCTTTAAAGTTGTCGCGAATCACGGCACGTGGTCGTGGAATCTGTTGGAGTCTGGGACTGAGCCGAGGTGAAGCTTAGTAGTTCTCCTTAGCGAATGATTAGGAGCTTTGAAAGAGTTTAGATCGGTTCAGCCACACAAGACGTCGGCTCGATCATGTTCATGAAATTGAGGTAATTAAACTTTAAAATAAATAATGAGGGCCACGTGTATTTTCTGTAAACCAATCAACGTAGGCCACGTATAAGGATGAGAATGGCTCCCAACAAAATTTAAAATAACAATGAGGACAAAATTTGGATTCAGGGTGTCTAAACCATCTTCAATTATTGACTAAGGACAAAAATCAAAATTATGTTATATTTAAAAGGATGAAAGTTAGTGATATTTTTTAATATACATATATATTGAATAATTTTGATACACATATTAATTTTATGAGAAAATAAAAATATCTAAAATTCAGAAATTAAATTGACTGAGGTTAAATTGATAAGTTAACCTAATAAAATCAAAGAAAAAATATTTCTCGATCCGACATGAATAGTCTTAGGGCTAGGGCTCCAAAATTTCTTTTCTTTCTCCTTGGTGAATTTATTTTTAATATAAAATTCAAAAATTAAATTGACTGATGGATTAAATTGACAAGTCAACCTAAGATCTGAAGAAATAAAATCAAAGGAAAAATATTTCCCATTCGAATAGCCCTAGAGCTAGGGCTCCAAATTTCCTCTTCTTCTTCCTTCGATGAAATTATTACTTTTCTTTGGTATAAAATTCAAAATGGATTAAATTGATAAGTTAACTAAAATATAAAAAAGAACAAAATCAAATGATAAACCTCTCCGGATTCAAAATAGTCCTAGGGCTGGACTTCAATGGATTAAATTCTATAAGATAACCCATAATTTAATGAATTAATATGAAAGGAAAAACCTTTGTGAACCCGTCGACTAGGGTTCCAAATTTCCTCTCCTTCCTCCTTCGATGAAATTATTTACTTTTAATTGACTGATGGATTAAATTGATAAGTTAACCTAAAATCTAAATAAATAAAATCAAAGAAAACCCCTTTCCCGATTTGATCCGGTGTAGTCCCATGGCTAGGAATTTAAATTTTATCTTCTTCCTCCATAAAATTCAGAAATTAGATTGACTGATGGATTAAATTGATAAATTAATCTAAAATCTAACTTCTCCCTCCCGGGATTTTTTTAAAAATAATGTTTTTTAAAAAACAAATGACACAAATAATGTAGGTTTGAAAGTATTTTCAAAAGTTGGATGCGATTTCAGGTAAGCCGAAATCGCAGCCAATGACTGCGATTTTATATATGGTATATATATTATTTTGTCAATTGATTCAATGGTAAGAATTGTGCAGCATTGGTCATAAAGGTCATTACCAACCCTCCATTCATGGGTAAAATTCCTACTCTAGCATTTTGACATTTTTCTTTTTTAACCGTTTTTTATTTCATTTTCGCTATTAACTTCTTTTTATTTTCAATTTTTACTCTTCCAACTTTTTTTTACTTTTTTTTCTTCAATTTCTCTTTTAATTTTTTTTAATTTAATGTTCTCTTTTTACTTTTTTTTTTTAATTTCATTTTCTATTTTTAACTTCTTGTTATTTTCAATTGTTTGTTGGCGTTACATACATGTGATTCTTTTTATATAAATTATTGTAATGTTTACTATGATCTAAGATTTATTGAAAAAATATGTTTTAGACGAATGTATGTTTTTACTTATAATAAAATAAATTATATTTTATAGGTAAAATAAATAAAAACTATATAGAAAATAGAAAATAAATAAAATACTAATAAAATAAAATATTTTATTCGTAAAATAAATAAAAGACTACATAAATAAATATATAAATATTTTAAATGAAAATCGCGTTGATTGTACGCGACTTTCCATAAATAGAAATTGCGTACAATGTACGCGACTTCTATAAATGGAAAGTCGCGTAATATACGCGATTTCCTGACTCATTCTTCGAGGTCCACCTCATCTATGTCATGTTGGCACCTAAATCGTATCCATTATATGTGATTTTTGACTTTGACTAGCATCTAACCTATTTTTGTCAATAGTTTGAATGTATAACTTAATTTTGTAATTTTTTATTTATACTACATTTATTTTGTTATTATTTTTAAATATACATTATTTTTGTAATTAGTTTTTCAAATTACATTATTAAACTTTCTCCTCCCTCCCCTTTTTGGAAATTTTTTTAAGCATAATTAAAAAATTAAAATTACTATGGATTAAATGGATAAGTTTAACCAAAAATCCTAAGAAATAAAATCAAAAGAAAATTCTTTCCCGATCGAATAGCCCTAGGGCTTCTTTCTCTTCTTCCTCCTTCGGCTCCATTACTTTGGACCTCTGCTCTCGCAGAACCCGTAAACCACAGAACACAGTAATGGGGAAGAAGAAAACCAGCGACCCCAAAAACCCCCGCGAAGCAATGGCTTCCCTTTCTGCTTCCTCCAGCGTTTTCGAGACTCTGTTCGGCAACGTTGGAGTACAAAGCGGCGGCGTTTCTATCTTCTCCAGTGACAACCCTTTTCGCCGGAGACACCAGGCGGCGGATTCGGATTCCATTCCTGCCGCTGCTGCTGAAGAAACTCCCGGTGCCGGTTCTAATGACCATATTGTTGATGACGTGAAGAGTTTGAAGAACGGCAAGGAGAAAAGGGCTGGAAACGATTTGGGTTCTGCTGAGGAGGCTTCCAAAAGTTCGTCGGAGATCAAGAAATCGAAGAGGAAGGAGAAGAATCGGGACCACCGCGACTTGGGTAATGGAGCTATCGAGGAGGAAGGTGGAGAAAATGGTGGGTTGGGTTCCCAATCGCTAGGAGTACTGAAGAAGAACAAGAGAAAAGGTTCTGCTTCGGGCTCTGAAATTAATGATACTAAAGAAACGAGTCCGGAATTTAGTGGAGCGTTGAAGGTAGAAGAACAAAGTAATAGGAAATTGAATCCTAGGTCGAAGACCGGCGAAAGGACTGACAGTAAGCTCGGTGAGGTTGGGAAGTTGATGAAAGAGAAGAAGAAGAGGAAGAGAGATGAACTTGAGAGAGAGTATGAAGCGAGGAAGTATGGTGCATCGGAGGTAGCTGAGGATGGGGAGGAAGGTTCAGGGGGCAATGTTGCTGGGAAGAAGAGGAAAGCACTGGACGATCCTTCGGAGATGTTGGTTTCGAAGGAAGGATTTGATGATGAAAGCAAGCTTTTGAGAACTGTGTTTGTTGGGAACTTGCCATTGAAAGTGAAGAAAAAAGCTTTAGGCAAGGAGTTTAGCCGATTTGGAGAGATTGAATCTGTTAGGATCCGGTCTGTACCACTTGCGAATGTAAGCATTGTTTTCTGCTTATTTTTTATGTTTATTTTTCTAGCTTGTGGGCATTTTCTCAATCTTTCAATATCCAATCTGAAGAATATCATACTCTTTTTCCGATCAGAGCAAAAAACCAAGGAAGGGGGCAATTCTTTCAAAAAAAGTCAACGAATCTGCAGAAAGGTAATGCTTTTATATCAATTATCATAATGTTTTTTTTTTGTCCCGTTGACTGTCTGTTATGTAATTGGATATGATGAATGCTGCTCCATTGTTTTCTATATAGAATTGTTGTTCTTCACTTAAAATCATGAGAGAGAGAGATTGATTTTAGGATAATCTTACTTGAACAGGATTAGGATTAGTTCTATATGGTGTATTCTGCTTCCTTGATTGAGATCTTGATTTGAGGAAATGTTTGTTGGAGATAATAGCTGGATATGGTTGCTTTATTTTTTATCAAGACGAACTTTTATACAGCTTTAACCGATGACAATTGACAACGAATATTTGCAGTTCTCACGCATACATTGTTTTTAAAATGGTGGAATCAGCACAGGCTTCTTTGTCCCATAACATGGCTGTGGTATAGTTCTTACTCCCCGTTCCCTTTTAGCTTTTTAAAGTTGAAACTTTTATGCTTTGGCTGTTACCAGATGGAATGACTTTATATTCTTTGTGAATTTAGTTTGCAGGAAATCATATACGTGTTGATAGGGCATGCCCCCCGCGTAAAAAGTTGAAAGTAGGAAGTGCCCCAATCTATGATCCGAAGAGAACCGTTTTTGTGGGTAACCTTCCATTTGATGTAAAGGTAATCTTATATCTTATATCTCTCGCTCAAGTTTTCTTTACCTCGTTTCTTCTTTCCCTCTTTTCTTCCTTGATGCCAAGTCATATCCTGTAGTTTAAGTTGGTATATTGTTTTATACTTCTACATGTTTTCAGGACGAAGAATTGTATCAATTGTTTTGTGGAATCGACAATCTGGGAGCCAGTGTTGAAGCTGTTCGGGTCATCAGAGATCCTAATGTGAACATAGGGAAGGGCTTTGCATATGTTTTCTTTAAAACAAGGGTATGATCAGCTTTTTTGACGTTAATATCTATTCTTTACACAAAATTTTTATCATCAGGTGATCGTGTGACTATTTTCCTAGTTTTGATAATTTGAACAGAAATCTTTATGCATCGATTTTCTCTCATTTTCTCCTCTTTTCCCAAAATGGCACGCAACTTAAGTACAGATATTTGTGCAGTTACTTCACTTGCACATGCGTGAGTCTGCAATGATATATTTATGGTTTTTCTGTTGTCTTGATTGTAAGATTTAATGGTTTTCTTATTAGTTGGTTATTGTTGTTATTTTTTTTGGTCGACTGAGATATTAGAGGACCCAGTGAATCATGTTCATAGCCAACCCTCCATTTATCTCATGGAGGCTCAAGGCCAGTTCTGGAAACTACTAGGGTCTTTAGTTATTTTCAGTTTGGAAAAACCAAAGACCTCAAATTGTACATGCAGCCCGTACGTCTACGGAATTGACTACTAAATATTAGTTAGTTTCATATATATAGGACAACGATTTATGTTGATGAACTTAAACCCATGACCTTGAAGGGTACATGCAACCTAGGGGACCAAATACCGAGTATTAGTAAGTTTATATTTAGGACGACAATTTATGTAGATGAACTTTTCTTGGGAGGAGGTGTGGTCTTTGGCAAGGTTTAAAGCTTATACTTGGTATCTGTTTCTAAGGACTTTTGTAATTATCTGTTAGGTCTTATTATTTTGGATTAGAGTCATTTTTCATATGGACCGTAAGAGGCAGTCCAATTGGCAAAGGCGTGGGGTCTATTGGTCATACTGGCTCAGAGGTCTCAAGTTCGAACGTTCTGGTGAGTTTAATACCAAAAATCTTTGATGTCTCTTAGGTCCGAGTTTTGGGGTGGGCATGGGTGCCCCTAGATAATAGGGGAACAAAGCTCCGACTATCCGTTATTTAAATAAAGGTCCTTTTTGTAATAGTTAGTTGTGGGATTCCCTTGGTCGGGAGGTGTTTTGGGCTGGTTTTTTTAGCCCTTGGCCTTCTGTTGTTCTATTTCTTTTTTTCACATTAAAAAAAGAAAATCTTCCAGGAGTAATTTGGCTGCCAAGAGCTCAATAGCTGTCTTCTTCTTTTTCTATCTTCCCTTGATTGTATTTATCACCTCTATTCATAAGTATATGTTCTGTTGGATTAAGTCTGCATCTTTCAACTTGAGACTTAGAATTATATTTACTCGATGTGCAGGAAGCAGCAAATTCCGTAGTTAATAAACAAAAACTAGAGTTACGGGATCGATCATTGAGACTCTTCCATGCTAACCCGAATTTGGTGTCAACCCCGCTAAAGAAACGGAGTAGGCCACCTACAGAAGCCGATCGCACTCCAGCAAAGAAAATGGCAGTGGGTCCAGGCTCGTGGACACCAGACAGCAGCAAGAGGGCAACTCCAAAATCTACTCCTGCATCCTATCAAGGTTTGCGCTCAAGCAAAACCGGTAGTGCCCAGAAGAAGACCGGTACAAAACGCACTGGTCTGAAATGGCCAAAATCGAACTCAAATAGTAAAGAGAAGCCAGTAGATCACAAGAGGAAAAAACCAGAGAAGACACCTGAAAGGAAGGGAAAAAGACCAGCAGTTGCCAACAGAAAGGCAGAGGCAAGAGCGTCGAAAAATGGCGGTGCAGCGCCGAAACAAGCCGGGGCGAAGCGCAAGTCCGGTAGCCGAACCCCTGAGAGCTCTCACAGAAACAAGAGAGTCAAAAGGTTTAGATAGAAAAACACAGCAGGAAAGAAGTTGATGTGGACTGAACTGAGTTATTTTACTCTCTTTGTATTCATTTATGTGTTTTATTAACTCTCCCCTTCTGATTAAGGAAAAGTTAATATCATCAACTTTTTCTTTGTATTATTTTTGCCTCATCTACTAAAATAATTAAGTTTTTAATGATTATATAAGAGTTCGTGGGTTCCAACTCCAACTTTATGTACTAAAATAATTAAGTTTTTAATGATTATATGTTAACTAAAATAATTAAGTTTTTAATGATTATATGTTAATTGGTACATATCCAATCAAAGTTCGTGAGTTCGAACTTCAACTTTACATATTATATTAATATATATATATAAAGGTATGAAGTTATAAAAAAAAAATTAAGTTAAGAAAAACAAGTTATGAGAAAACTTGTATGGAAAAGGACAGTAGTTTTGAAATATATTTTTTATAATTAATTAAGAAGGAATGAGTTTAAACTACCATAAGAATACGACTCGGTACACTCATGGATATAAAAAAGATATATATATTTTTGAAAAACAAACTATTTTTAATATAATGTTGTCTGTATATTTAAAATTATAAATTGTAGGGTTTTTTTTTTTAATTATTCAAACAGGAAATTGCTTAAAAAATAACACCTGCCAGGCTGTGGGCCCACCTCTTTTGACGACTCAGCAACTTTCGGCTCTTTTCTACCAAATACAAATTAGACAATTGAAAAACCAGATTTTGGACCACAGGGAGGTTGGAATTTGACCTGAATTTTGAGGTAATAAATTTTCTAAATTGACCAAAATCCAGAGGTAATAAAATTTTCAAAATTTTCTTCACAGCATTCAATTGATTGACATCTAATGAATTATCAGAAGATTTCAAACAGGAACTCACCCTAGCTCGTCTTTGGACTTGTTGAAATTCTGATGACCTATTTTAAAGGTTTCTTGGTAGCGTAACTATGGTTCGAATTGCCATAAATAGTTTCGCAATATTTTATCATATGACCGACAATGCCGCAAAAGTAGCACAAATCTGATTGGGATCCAACTCTCCCTCGATTAGACCATCTAAATTTACTCTTACTCCTCGTTTGAGAGGTTTATGAATATCAATACAAATTCGGGTCAGTAAACCTTCACCTCAGCAAAAATTGTCTTCATCACAGTCAACTTCCTGAAATGAATCAATAGCATTTCCTAATCGACATTGTTTTATCCATGCATGTCATTGGTAGATTAAATAAATGCACCCATAACAACACATACTTGAATTCTAAAGCAGGCTTGTTGAAAAAGTTGGATTTGTCAAAGAATCGAGGAGATGTTCGCATGATTCCAATCAACCACCTTATTGAAAATGAAAAGGGAAGAGATTTCTGCCCAAACTTTCGATTGTTAGACAATTTTCAATCTCCCAAGCCATTTTCAGCACATTACGAATCACCTCAATGCTTACAATTCCCTTCGAGAAAAGTTTCCCAACAAGACTTGATTCTAGTCTTTTCCTAATCAAGATTGATGTCGAACCATCGTTATATATCGTTGTTTCTTCTTCCTCTACCATTAGAATGAACTTCTTCAATTCTTCTATCAAAAATTCAGTCTCCTTTGGTCACCTGCAACACTCAGAAAGAGTATGGTTGTAGAAATTACGCAAAAAACTCGAAATCTTTGATTATGATCAGCCCAAAAGACCGAAAAAACTCTCATCTCAGAGAGAGAACTTAACAATATCCAATAGTTTTAGGCCGTATGATAGCCTTGTAAGTCTTACTAGAATAATTTTATTTAGGTTTAAATAATACTATTCTAGCTATTCTACTTTCAATTTAGGTTATTTTTTTGGTTTTGGTTAATTTCGATCTCTATATTTTCAAAATATTCATTTTGATCTTTTAAAATTACCATTTTAGTTTGTGTAGTTTTTAAAAGTAGTCATTTTGGTTCATATTTACAAAATTAAATCTACACAATGGAAACTTTTTAATACAAATTTATAAATGAGATAAATATAGAAATGAAGGGACCATCACTTTTTCTTTTTAAATACAGGGATTAAAATGAACGTTTCAAGAGTACCAGGACTAAAATGAAAATTTGAAAGTATATAGACAAAAACAGACGTTTTAAGAGTACATGAACTAAAATGATCCAAAGCTGAAAATATAGAAAGAAAAAAAAATGTATTATTTCTAGTCGATTGCTCTGTGATGGACTGCCCCGTTTCCTAGGCTCTGCTCGCTCATCTAAACTAGTAATGGTAAGTTGATTCGCTTCTGGGATGATGTTTGGCCGTGGTTATCATAATGAAAATACATAATAATAATAAATAAATAAATAAGACAATTATTAAAACATATTTCCACTTCTTTCTTATAGAAACTCAGCCCCATATAAGAGCTATGCAAATAAAATAGTCAAATGCAACCTTTATCCTATGAAGATAGCAAAAATAAGTACATACTACAACAATCTAAATACTGTTTAAACTATTTTACAAAAATTATATTATTTTCATTTTCCCATTAATTAATAACACCAAGCTCATTTGTCAATTTATGAAACCTTGGTTCCATGTTATTCAAAATTAAATTATGGTTAATGAGAATTTAGTTTCATTAAATTATTAATTGGGCAAAAGAGTACACCCAACAACATTCCTTTTTTGTACCAAAAGGCAAAAATTCAAAGATTGCATTTTGACCAATGGGCAATGGTCAAGGCTCAAAAATAAAAATTAACTCATCTGTCACCGTTTCTTGTTTTTATTTTCTCAAAAAAAAAAAATTACATGGTTCTCGACGCCCATTAATTAAAAATAATAAAATAATATTTTTTTATTTAGGTTTTAGAACAAATTAAAAAAGAAAAAAATTGTTTTTATCTTTTCTAACCTTTATATATAATTTTGAGAATATTTTAAAAGAATGAAAAATAAAAAACATAAATAATTGTCAAATGCTTAAATATTTTAATAAAAAATTAAAAATGAAAAACAAGAAATTGAATATTAGATAAAAAAAATAAGAAATAGAAATTGTTGTCGAACATATTTGTCAAAAAGAAATTAGAAACTAGGAAATCGAAAATAATAAACGAAAAGTAGGAGACGAAAAACGAAAAAAAAAAAGACGAAGACGTTACCAGACCGACCTAAAATTCTCTATTTTCAATTTTTATTTTCCAATCTCAATTATTATTCTACCGTGACCGTTGACTAACATCATCTTGCTGTCAACTTTAGCCAAATGCTCAGCCGTCCGTTATTCTCCCCCACCAAGCTTCTCTTAATAATCTGCCACGTGTCTACAAGAATGTGTATTATTTACGCTAAATCTTTTCAGGTAATTTTTAATTTAGATTTTAGTCCCCCATCTTTTAATATTCTCAATTAAATCTTTAAAAATCAACTAAAATTTGAAAGTTTAGTTAATTTCCTTTTTGATAATTATTTTATATTTTAGTTTCTATTTTTAAAAATTAAGTCGGTAAATACTACTATCAACTATCTTTTTTTTTTCCTTTTGGTATCTAATTTTTAAAAGCCTTTCAAATCCAAGCTAGTTTTTGATAAAAGAAAAAGGGTTTTCTCTATTTTTTAAATTTGGCAAAGAATTTCAATTGTATTTTAAAGAAAAATGATATTGAGAACATCCAAACATAAATTTCAAAAACAGAAAATTAAAAAGGTTATCAATCCTAAGTGATTGTTTTGTTTACACTTTTGAAATGTGGCATATTATTTGGAATGTATGAATTTTGTCATAGGTCGTTACGATAATGGTTGTGGGTGGGGATTGGATTCTATGTGTGCGGTAGTATTGAGTGACATTTTCACATATCTAAATATATTGATGGGACAATAATTTAACCATGGGTTAACATTTTGTTAACATAATTTAATATTTCTTAAAAAAACAAAATTTAAAAATGGTCAACCTAAGCTATTATACATTTATATTAGATGCTTCAATCCTCACTTGGTTGAATTAAAAAAGAAAAAAAAATTCTATAGAGGATCTTGATGCACTAAGGATATAATTGAAAATTTGAAAATATTTAAGAACGAAATTGAGAATTGTTGAAATATTGTGGATTGATTGGTGTATGCTCCCCTGGATCTTATGTTAAATTACAAATTTGATTCCTATAGTTTAAGCCTAGTTTCAATTTGGTCATTATGATTATAAAAGTTTTAATTTAGTTCTTAGGGTTTGAGTTTAGTTTCAATTTTGTTCCTATAATTTTAAGAATTTTTAATTTGGTACCACGTCACTATCATTGCTATATTGAAATATCAACTTGTATGAATAATGAACAAATGTTTCTATTTGATTAAGTACATTAGTTGCCTATATTGAGTTAAGACTCGAAGTAAAAAATAGACTGAGGTAAATTTTTCGGGTGAAAGAAAGAGATTCTCCAAAGTTTAATAAACTCATGTGAACCAAATTAAATTTGATAATGGCTTCAAACATTAGGTTAAATTACAAAAATTCTTATGGTTATAGTTTAATGTAATTTTGCTAACATGAATATAATACGGCGGTAATTTAATTTGGCCGATATTTTGACAGAGTGATGTCGGTTAATTTATCATTGCCCATGCGTCATCTTCTTCCCTTTGCCCTAGTTGAAGCTATATATAGCTTCCTCTGCTCGCTCGAATCCGTTCGCTTACATTTTCTAAATTCTTCTGTTTCAAAAGCTTCATTTTTTTTCCGTTTCGGTTTCTTCAAGAACCCTAGAAGGAGCCGGAAACCCTAGATTTCGAAGAATTTGAGAGATTTTTTTGGTTTCGGATTTGGTGTTCTGTTGAATGTGATTTTTTTTTTTTTGTTTTGCTATTGTTTTGATGAGCGTCGTGGTGTTTTGTTTCAGTTGTTAGTGTTTTTTTCTTGGGGGGTATCAATGGCGGATCGTAGATTCTGCGTAGGGTATGCTCTGGCTCCGAAGAAGCAGCAGAGTTTCATCCAGGACTCGTTAGTGAGCCTGGCGGCGTCGCGAGGGGTCGATCTTGTTCGGATTGACACTGACCGGCCACTTCTTGATCAAGGCCCATTCGATTGCATTCTCCATAAGTTTTACGGCGAGGATTGGAGGAAGCAGCTGGTGGAGTTCAGAGCTAAGAACCCTAATGCGTTCATTTTGGACTCGCCGGACGCGATTGAGAGACTTCACAACCGGATTTCGATGCTTCAGGTGGTTTCAGAGTTGAAGATTGATAATCCGGATGAATCGTTTGGGATCCCGAAGCAGATTGTGATTTATGATAAGGAGACGTTGTTTGATCGGCAGGCGTGGGAGGGTTTGAAATTCCCTGTCATTGCTAAGCCATTGGTGGCCGATGGCAGTGCCAAATCTCACAAAATGGCGCTCGTCTTCAACCACGATTGTTTGAACAAGCTTAAGCCTCCGATAGTTCTGCAGGAGTTTGTGAACCATGGGGGCGTTATCTTTAAGGTTTACGTTGCTGGGCAATATGTGAAATGTGTGAAGAGGAAGTCTCTGCCCGACGAGCCGGAGGAGAAACTGGGGAATGTAGAGGGATTGTTGTCGTTTTCGCAGGTCTCGAATTTGACTACTCGTGAGAAAACTGATGATAAGTACTACAAGATGATGCAGCTTGATGATACAGAGATGCCACCGTTGAGTTTCGTCACCGACATCGCTAGGGGGTTGCGGCGCTCCATGAACTTGAATCTTTTTAACTTTGACGTGATTCGGGACTCAAAAATTGGGACTCGGTACCTTATAATTGACATTAACTATTTCCCTGGGTATGCAAAAATGCCGGGTTATGAGAAGGTTTTGACCGATTTTTTCTGTGATTTAGCGCAGAAGAAAGAAGCAGTGAAGAATTCTGAACAAGAAACGAGAAAGATCGTCAGTGATGAGGATGATGGAGGTCTATCAGATGACAGGGAAAACAAAGAAACCCCTGTTCAAGTTCAAGATTGAACCATTATTTTGGAAGCCCTTCATTCTCAAAACATTTGGGTCGTTCTTCTCTGTTGCCGACTGAAGTGAGTTCTACACATCTCTTTAGATAGCCATTGGTACAGAAATGAAAAAGGAAAAAATTTGCCTTTCTTCAATTAGTTCTTTAACCTCATCACGAAATTACATTGTGTCCTGTCCTGCCCTGTCCTGTCCAGTGTTATCATGTATATTCCATCCTAACGTTACACTGGAGATAGTTCTCAAATACCCCCTACTGATATTGCTATATGGAGGTCAAATTGTATCTTGAGGCTTAAGCTTTCCCTCTTTTTAGGATCTTTCTAGCTTATGGATTTTGAATCTTTTAGTGAATTCAATTACTGATTTTTTTTTCTCCCAGAAAAGTCTTAGCGTCGTTTTCTTTGGCCTTGTTTCTGTCGTGTTTGATGTAGTGCACTGATCAGAATGCGTTGGTGTTATAGGAAAATAGGACATTCTTCCAAACAAATTGTAGAACCTGCTTTGAGATGATAACTGTGTTCTGAATTCAAGAACCTGCTTTAAGATCTACCAAGGAAATGAAGAATGAATAATAAATGGCTTGCCTCAATTTTGTTTTTGATGTATTGAACATCTTGAATGTGGCATTTGAGAAATAGAATGCTGGGTCGATCCCGAGTCTGATTTCTTGGGAAGTTCAGAAATCATGTTTTTTCTTCGCTCTACTTCTGATTTGTTACTCGAAATGGATTCTTGCTTCTTTTCTGCTCAGGATTAAGGTTTAGGACTAGAATTATCTGTGTGTTCTATGATTGTGCTGATTAGGAAACGAGCTGGAATAAAACATTTCTTAGGAAGTGTAAGTTCTGTCGTTCTACAAACCCACATTTCAGTTCTGTTTTCATTGGTTTAAAAACTTATTTTGGGTTGGCAGTTAGCATTATATGTAATCTTGATTTAGGCCCCTCTTTTGCTTGGATGTGTTCAATGGAGATATGTTGCCTTGAGAACCAACATGGTTTCCTTCAATGAAGGATACTTGCCACATTTTATATGTTATTTTGCATCTTTGCTTCTTCCTCACCGGGAGAATAATCGATTAAGAGCATACAGATTTTGAATTTGAATTTGAATTTGAATTTGCATCCAATGGTTATTAGGGGACAGCCCACCCGGTGACTACACTCACATGTGTGTAAAACGATAGAGTAATGTGTTCATGATCGTGGGAATTGCTTGGGGTGTTCTGTTTCGTTCCATGAATATCCTTCTGCTGATGGTTTCCCTGCTCACTTGGAAGTTGGAACGGACTTTGAATCGAAAGTATGTGACATTTATATGGTTAAGACTGGCCTGTTTGATTGATAGAAAGGGTTCGAGATCGTCCTAGAAAACGTGCAGGACCCGAAATTGTTAAAGCAGTAATGCTTCTAATCTGATTTTGCTTTGCTTTGCTTTGCTTTGTTTCTTTTCATGAAAATTTGTTTTGAAAGCTGCGAAAGGGAATCCGAGGGGGCACTTCTTTATTCCTTTATTGCTCCACTGCTTCTGCTTGACGCTAAATATGGCATTGAGATTATATATCTTTACTTTACACTATTTCGTCTCAATTTGCATATTTGAAAAAGAAATTTTAAAATACATTTTAAAACTATTTTATGTAGTGACATTTCTGAATGTATGTTTCTAATGTTATTCAATTTGCAGAGTAACTAAGTCATTTAAAAGAGAAAAAAAGTCTAAATCTTTGTATATTTCTATTATGCATAATTCCTCCATTAAATTCTTACTAATTTACAAAGTATCAGGTAGATTTACATTCAACTAATTTTAACATTGACCAATGAAAAATAGTATAACTGAAAAATATTAGAACAACTAAATTAAAACTTATTAAAGGATGGAAGCTAAATTAATAAAATACCCGAACRTTAAGTACTAAAGTATGTGTCTTAAAAGTTATTTTCTACCTTTTTGACTCAAAACTTGTAGATGTTTACTTAAAGATAGTAATATTACCATTAATAGAAAAGTTCTCATTATCAAGTTGTCTCGAGTGATTTTGACTTGTCCAAAATCACTTTTGCCATAGTCAAAATCACTTTTCCATTGATCGTGTTTGAAAATTGATTTTAGAAAATTCTACCATCACTCTCAAACAAGGGTTTTAAGTTTCTCTTCAAGCAAATAAATAATGATAAAGAGATCAGATGCAAAGGGGACATAAATGACCCATCTCTGGCCATTAACAACTTATCATAACTCCATAAAACATCTTGTTCTCAGAGTTACAAAGGAATTGGAAAAAAAAAAATTACTAATACAGCACTTCATGAAAGAGTGTATTACTATCCATGTTGAAAAATCTATATCCCAAAAACAAACATAACTTTGTCAAAACAGTTGAAAAAATTTGACATATTTTCCCCCCATAAGTTAGATTTCAAAACTGCATGTGACAAATTCAGACAAGATTTTAGCTGCAGGAGCCAGAAAGTTATACTTATCTGTATGGAAATCCATCATCAACTACATGAGACAACCGACGTAGTGAGCACATGGATATTTCGTCTGTAGTTGTGGCCATTGCACGAAAAACTGATCAGCCATGTATAACTTGTACAAAATCAAGCCACTTAATGATAATCTCTTCACTCTTGCAATGCTTTCCACATAAAAAATTGAAGACCATCTAATCCCCACAACCTGCATTCAGATTCCAGCCAGTGTTTAATCTCTAGAATCATATGATCTTGGAACTGAAAAATGGGGAAAAGAAGGCTGTTCAATGCACTTTTGAACCTTAAATAAGAATGCAATTACGCATAGCGGAATACAGGTACCGGGGCCATTGCAGAGAATCTGCAACAAAACAAACAACTGATTCTAAAGCAAAAGAGGTCCTCATGTAAATAAGCAGATTTACGGACAGAAGAAATACCACTTGAGGTCTAAGTTTAAGCATTAGCCAGAGTGCGTGCATTATGGCAACTAAAGTCGTCCATACAGAAGTGAAATATGATTGGCCTACTTCCCTACTCCGGTAAATCTGCATAAATTGTGCAATCTTGTCTACCTCAGCCCCGGTCTGCAATGCGCACCAATTCACAAATAAATTTAATAGGAAAGCCGAAAAAAAAGTTTGAGAGAAACAAAAGGTAACAAAATATACTACATATATTGTTAGAACTGGAATCTAGTTAGTTTGAGGCTACAGAAGGGAGAATAGTGATAACATAATATTGTTATTCAGTTTGATAATGATCAAGGATGTATAAAAGAGTATTTATGCTGAGAATCGACTGAAAACATGCCACGAGGAAAAATAAAATTCAACTGATTTCACCAATTTAAGTTCCAGGACTTGTTTCCTGGAGCTGAGAATCAGTGAAGATGGCTTACTATCTGAAGAAAACTAATAAGCTCAAGCTTGGATGAGAAGCCTATTACTAATTGGAAATGTTCCAAGAGAATCCATTACTAATCTTCTAAATGAGTTTCATGGTTGTCGTTCTTCCCAAACCAAGTGCACTTATGATGCATGAGAGCAGCCTGAGGCGAATTTGAATTCAACCAACAAAAGTTCAATAGAGTCCATTGAAATTAGTGGACCATTAAACCGAAGTTATTTGTTTTATATGCAAGAAAATTAACTTTGATCTTCATTGTGCCATTACTGGTAAATTCGTATTGAGCATGTGCTCCTGACATGCAACATTTGCCCCTGGTTGAAAAGAAATTGCCAGTGGGTGTAGTAGAGATCATCATCAAGATATGGAAAAGGGTACGAGACATTAAAAGTTGCTGAAACTCCATAATTACCCCAAGCTCCATTTTGTAGGCATTATCATAAATATTCTTAAACAATCTTAAATGGCCCTTCGACTTTAGTTTGTACTTCAGCGAACTGTTAGTGTGGATAACTTTTTCCCACACAAAACCTGTTGCTCTTAATTCCTATTTCAAGGTCACATATTTTTTCTAGCTAAGGAATGATACTTCGTTAAACACAACTAGTACCTACTGATGCTGATTTATTTGTTTTTTTGTACTTTTCAGTTCACTTCAAAAGAAAACAGCCGGTAGTTCAAGTGTCTGACTTGTAGAAGGGAACCAAATCCGGCTTTGGGTAGGGAAAATTCTCCTATTCTTGAACATATTTTTCACTAAAATTCAAGTTATGGCTCTCAGTTCTCAAGGATCAGTCAACATCTTCCACCCGTCCATTTGTTTGTAATTGATGATACGATCTAGATTGAAGCTTAGATTACTAACTTCATGATTTTCCAAAATGAGTTAAAAAGCAACACGAGTAACATCTGAACCATGTTGCAATAAACATAATAAGCCATTTTTAAAAAAATAACGTAAAAATAAAATCTGCTCATTGCCACCATAGTTGAATATTTTCCTCTCATGAGGTCCATGTTCACATCTTACCATGTTGTATTGGAATTGGAAATGGTAGAGGATTGTAAATTGTATAGTCCAATATTCCTCCCATGCGTCTCAACTTTGTGACAAGTTACACATCTGTCCACTCGTTTCAATATCTTGCACAAGCTTACATAAACGAAGGTTTTTTTACACCGGGATCGAAGTGTTGTCTCAAGGCAGGTCCTCACTGCCAGGAGCTTCTTAAATTATGGCTTCTATAAGTGAGCAATTCACAATACAAAGATGTTTGCCAATAAAAGGATGACTATTATGAATAAATAATCTAACTCTTTGATCTACTTAAAAAACCTTTCCCAAGTTCTGCCAAAATCAAAAGATTTATAAAAGATTTTAACAATCTCAAGGGCCAATACCACAGCTGACATAGTATTCAACAAAGCATATCAATAAATTTAAAGGTTTGCCGAAATTCTACCCACATGCATGTCATGCACTCAACCTATGTTGAATACTCAAGCATTTCCATGCTTCATTTAAAAATAAAGCACAACTCCTTATGAAACACGTGATGATCCCAATGAGTAAGAACTCAAAGGATTTCATAAAGCTCTATGCCATATGTTAAATACTTTCCCTCTGCTTTATTCAACTTCTAATTAAATAAAGCAATTGTAATGGTCCTTCTTGGCCAAGAATAGGTCCAGCTCCAGCCCCACTTCAAAGACATTTTTGAAATTCAGTGGTATCGTACTCGGGAGTTGGGACAGGACAATGGTTCTCTTTCTCTTGATAAGTTCAAAGTTGTAGTAATGTTATCTCGCTATTATGACCCTTCATCCTCTTGAACTATGTCGAGGTTTCTTCAAATCACCAAAGCTCCCCCTTCAACAGCATATTTTTTTATTCTTTAACTCCGCCTTGTTCTTGATTCTTTTGTTTCTCATCTTTTTCAATCACATCTTTGACAATAGTCAGTAGTCACTACCTTTTGATTGGGACATTCAAAGATGATGTGACCATACCATTGACACTTGTGGCACTTCCACTATATGTGTACAACCAACAAATCTAAATTCTAATACGTATTCAACTAACAAAAGGCCAATACCCAAGGCAGTCTCCAGTATCTTGTCTTGTAGAAAACAACTATAGTTTAATGTTATATATTCAACGCACAACAGTTAGTTATGTCCAACCCACTATTTGCTTTAACGTTTATACTACCTATTTCTTCAATGAGTATTAAATTTGACCATTTAGCTATTTTTAGCTGTCAAACAAGTCTTAAACTGTGGTTGATGGTAATAATGGTGATTCTTATCATGGGCTCTGATTGTTTGTCAACACTAGTGGGATTTTTGTCAAATATAGTGATGATTTGGTGGTTCTTAGTCCAATGTTGTTCTGATTTGGTGCCTTATAGTCAAAGGTTGTTTCTACTTGGTGCTCAAATGCAAGTGTAGTTTTGGTTGGGGTAGTTTTAAGTCGATGGTGATGGCTGTGTACTTCTGAAATTTAGAAGTCTTGTTCCTATGCTTGGAGGGTCGTTCCAAGTATTAATTATGGAAGGCACAAAATGGCGTGGACTTTTTACAGATAACTAATCAGAATTCAACATTTCAACACCTAATGTATGAGCATTTTATCTCTTACCTCCTATCAATGGTGAACTAAACTTTGAACTTTAATCCTCAAAACAGGTAAATTCCTTAAAACAGGTAAATTCCTTCTTGCTTCTGTTCTATGTTCCAAGAACAGTGTTAAACCCGTTCAGACTTAAAGCAGCAATTAATATTCAATAAACAAAGCAAGAGGCAAACTTTTCCCTGCATTAACAGAGATAGGTCACATCAAGAACCGAGCAACGAAGGAAGGAGAGTGTGATTGCCCCCTCTTAGTTTGCGTTAGATAAAGATCTTAATGATCATTTTAGCCAGCTAAACCCAGTTTCAACGTAGGTCCAAGTTCTACAACTCAAATCAAAGCTTGGACCAATATTCCTATGTCCTCCCCAATAGAGCTTCTAGTTTCTCGTAGGATTGGCAACCGTAACACCGTGGCCATCCCATCCCCGCTCTCATTTCCTCGCTCAGACAAACAAGAAAACTTGGAAGGCCCTAATTTTGTACCTTATCCGCCAGTTGGTTTTCATATGTACGAGCTTTTTGAAGACTCATGTTATCTGTAGCAGCAGCGATGTAGAATCTCGGAGAAAACAAGTCCTTCTGCAGCACAGACAAAACATTGAGCATCTCCGCCGTGTGACCCCCTACATATCGAACGATCAGTGAAATTACACGAATAAATCTACGAGTCAGCCAAATTGATGACTGTCTCACCTGAGCCTAAAACAATGAGGGTACTAACAGGCCCCAAGCTTTTGTTTCGAATAGGTCTACCACTCCAATATATAACGTAAAGGACACGGCTCAAAATCAAGCTGATACTTAGAATTACAGTAGCGATAGCAACACTTGAATCCATTAAGATAAGCAAACGCACAAATCCTGCAAAGAAAAAAGTTAGAGAATTAATAAAACACAGAAAAGATCAAAAGAGGTCGCGTTGCCTCTGGTTTCTCATATGCTACAATTGAAATAAATGCTCACAGAATCGATATTAAGATCCAGAGTTTTCAATTACCAAAACCGCTGCTGTTACGTGACGTGAAAAAGAACGAATTAGAATTCGATTCGAAACCTGTGGAAGAAGCTCGTCAGCTAAAAGGTCGGAGTGTAATTCAGACAAAAATTCTCCGATTCTATCTATCAACAAATCGTTGGAATTCTCCTACACCAACCTCAAGAGAACGTGAAGTCCATCGGAGACCTAAGAAATTGTCACTGACGGTCTTCTTCTTCAAGAGGGATCCGAACCAAAATCAGTCACAGGTGAGAGCAGACAAGGAAGAAGAAGAATCGGGGATAGAATACGACAGAATCGGTGCTAGTTTCTGCAAAGTTCTTCCCCGCCGCCGCCGCGGCTCCCAGGAACGCCGTTGCGAGTAATCCGCACTCTTATGTAAAATATATTCAGTTTTTCCATTTCATTTCTCGTAAATAATTTTGGTTAAAATATAAATTTTGTCTCTCTAATTTCATAGATAACGATTTTCGTACTACTTTTTCACGTTCCAAGTTTAAACTTTATTGAATAAATTGTATAATCATAAGTTTAAAAAAATTTATAATAATTTTTTGTTTATTGTAATTATAATTTTTTAATTAACTTCATTTAAAAGGCATTTCGTAGCTTTTTATTTTTTAATAAAACTTAACAAAATGTGACAGAATTTGAATTTACACCATCTACCCCTTGAAAAGTAGCTAATTTTAGTGGCCTAAATTTTTTTCTATAATATCACGTGAATACAAATTCGCTAGTGCATTCAAATTTAAATATAAAATTTATTGTCATAATAAAGATTGTATCCCTCTAAAAGAAGCCCTATAATAAATGTCAAAATATTGGAGATACCTTTCACTTTCAAGATCTTCAGAGGAAGACTTTATTTTTATTTTTCATCGTGACTTTATTTTTATTTTTCATCGTGACTATCGATAAGAATCAATACGCATCTCAACTAATCTACCGAACTTACAACGGTCAAAAAACCCTAAATTTTATCTTATGAACTGGTCACGATACCATGATATTTGAACCTTTGCCTCCAAAGGCTCCCATTCTTTTTCCCACGCCTTGATATCATTCAGCCAACCTATGATGGCTCTCGGAGTTAAGACTTTTAGATAGGTGAAGCTCCCGAGAATTAGTCGGAGCGCGCCATGAACCTCGTGCAAGGCGCACGACATGTGGCAGGCACCCAGTATCCCCATCAGAAGAAGAAGGAGAAAAGAAATTTAAATGAAGATAAAACAGATAAAAATGCATTACATTTCCACACACTAGTAGAGTCAAAACTACATGCACTAATCCAACAACACCACCATAAATGTCCAGTTTTCTCCTACTCAAATGGACATGGACAGAAGAATTGCACCAATAGAACATATCAAATATTGGATCCTTTCAGAGAAGCCCTCAAACAGCAATAACAGAGACTTTGGAACACAGTTAACTTCATATACACAACAATAACAAAGGCCCTTTCAGGTTTGAGGAGAGGAAGCAAAAGGGGGAGATTTCTATTATTTACTCTCTGCAATTACCACCCTATGAGGCGTCGTCTGTGGTGCGGCTCGAGCAGCATGCTCCGACGCATGGGTGAGACCTTGTAACATTCTCAAGATTTCGTGTGTGTCTTCCAAGTAATACTTGGCCTTGCTCGGTTTCTGGCCAACTGTGCAACCGAACACCTCAGCACCAGGAGGAAGAGTGGGCTTTGCACTTGTTATCACCTCGAACATATCCTCATCTGACCTGTCGTCTCCGATGCATAGAACGAAGTCGGGAAGCATTCCTCTCTCCCTCATTGTTTGCAAGAGAGATTCTGCTACAATACCCTTGTTTACACCCTGAAATTCATTACAAAAATTCATTCCTCAGAATTCTACACTCTCCAAACAAGCCCTTCTCATTGCTCATCAATTTTTGTATATTCTTCATGTTTTGTTAACACAAGCAAATAATTTGACATTTCGAGAATAAGATCGGTATAAGAGATTTTTTGCTCAAACTGTCAATCTAAGTAGTTGAATAACTTAGTAATTTTCTAGTTAACTGTCTTGAATTGTTTGTGATGCCCTTTTGATTTTTCATCATTTAGTCCTTGATAAACAAGAAAACTTGAGTGCCGCCATGGAACCCGACATATAAAGTGATTAAGAGATTAAGATTGATAAGCTATTTCATAAGTTTTATGCCTCCTATTGAGGGTAAAAAGACTAACCTGAGGTTTGACTTCTACAATATGTTGGCCACTCTTGACAGAAACTGGCTCATTGGCAAGAACACTTTCCAGGTGATCTAAAAGTTCCTTGGCCTGGCACGACCCAAAATCAGGATCCGCATAAAGGTAGTTCCAAACAAGAGCACTCTCCTTAGTTTCAATTGCAGAGCCATCAGTTGTCTCGGTATACAATTGCATAACAGGTTCTGCAATCTGTTTCCAGTCGAAATCTGTCACACCTACACTTGTCTCCCAATCTGCGGTATGATTTGACCTGAAACAAATGCCAACGAAGCCACGAAACATGATAAGATTGGAGGTTGTGAAAAGGAAACATCGATCAACCTGAAACTTCGTTTTACGGCTAATACAATGAAAATTTACGGCAATTCTCTGATATATTCACTACAAAGAAGTTTCTCGCTTTACACTCTTCCCCTCTTGTGGAATATTATAAGGGTAAGGGCATATAAACAACATAATAAAGGGCATATAAACAACATAATAAATCAAAGTAGCAGTCAGAAGCTATACTATAACATATTTTAAGAAATAAGGATTGAGCAATGTACCTCAGATAATAACCGTGTTCTGCAGCTAGTCCGAGCTTTTCGCATGGTGAAAACCATTCAGTCAGAGTTTTTCGGTCCTTTCCACTAACAAGGAACACGACATTCTTAGGATCTTTACACAAATTGTTCAAGACTCCTATGGCTTCAGAAGTTGGATTCATGCTAATTGAGCCTGGAAGCGTCATGATACCATCATAATCTAACAAGATTGCCCGGTGGCAGGTTCTCTTATACACCGAGACAATATGATCAACTGAAAGCTTCCTAAAATTTGGATCCAGCGCGATAACTCGAAATCCTAAACCGAAACCTATACCCCAGCACCTCCTCATAGAATGGTCTCTGCAGGCCCTGCCCAGGTCCTGCAAAAAGCTGCGTGCCCAGTACGCAACATCATGTGTACTAACGTACCGATAATGCTTCTCATGTCGCAATTGCTTTTCTGCCTCAGGGATTACCAGGGCAGTATCCATTGCTTCAGTGACAGCTTCGATATTCCATGGGTTAACCCGAATAGCCCCGCTGAGGGATGGAGAACACCCAATAAACTCAGACAACACTAGCATGCTCTTCTTTGCATTTGAAGGATTCAGCCCAAGAACACTGTCAAGCTTCTCGTTGCCTTGTCGACATATAATATATTCATAAGGTATAAGGTTCATCCCATCCCTCACTGCGGTAACGAGGCAGCACTCAGCAATTGCGTAGTATGCAATTCGCTCATAAAACTGCAAGGGAGTGTTAATCAAAACCACAGGCTCGTATCCTGGCCTTTTGAACGTCGCATTGATTCTATTCACGGTCGCAGTAGTTTCAGCAACAACCTCCTGTACGTCTTTCCCTCTTCCTCTTGCAGGATTTGCAATCTGTACTAAAACAGCTTCACCCCATCTCTCGGGATGTTGTCGGAGCAATTGTTCAAATGCCAAAAGTTTCAGGCTGATCCCTTTAAATATGTCCATGTCATCAACCCCAAGCAAAACAGTCTGACCCCTAAACCGATCTTGCAATTCTGCGACTTTGGATACAGTCTCTGGGAGATTTAACACATTCTGGAGCTGGCCTATATGAATACCAACAGGAAGAATCTTGATGCTCACAGTTCGACCGTAGTATTCAAGCCCGATGTAACCTCGCTTAGATTGATAAGACAGACCAAGCATTCTGCTGCAGCAAGACAAAAAGTGCCTCGCATAATCAAACGTGTGGAAGCCAATAAGATCAGCATTTAATAGTGCCCGAAGAAGTTCATCTCTTACGGGAAGGGTTCGATAGATCTCGGATGAAGGAAATGGACTGTGTAGGAAGAATCCAAGCTTCACCCTGTTAAACCTCTTCCTCAAAAATGTTGGCAAAACCATCAAATGGTAATCATGAACCCAAACAAAGTCATCGTCAGGGCTAATCACTTCCATTACTTTGTCTGCAAATATCTTATTCACAGAAAGATACGCTTGCCAAAGAGACCGATCAAATCGTCCACCAAGATCCGGTGACAGAGGAAGCATGTAGTGAAACAGAGGCCACAAATGTTGCTTGCAGAATCCATGATAAAATTTACTAAACAGCTCCAGAGGGAGGAACGTCGGGACGCACTTGAACCGATCGAGAAGAGTTTGTGCAACATCATCTTGCTCCCTCGGATCAACCTCCTCTCTAAGACAACCAATGTAAATCACTTCCACATCTTCTCCAAGCCCATCTTTAAGCTGCAAGAGAAGTGAATCCTCATCCATACTAAACCCCCAATCTCCATTCTCATCTCGATGCGCTCGAATCGGGAGCTGGTTCCCAACGATGATCATTCGGTCTTGCGATACCGACGAAGGGGCATCGGAGCCAGTGCTGTTGCAGCCATCATCGTCAAGCTCAGACAAGACTCCAGCCACAGTGGCCACTCTAGGTAGCCTCTTCTTCTCTCGGCCAAGCCCAAAAGTTGGAGAACAACCACCAGAAGCAAGCTCTAACAAGTTTGAATAAGACCTCGAAACCATTATAAAGATCTCCCAAAACAGCTCCCCAATAAACAGCAACAAAAAAATAACAGTGTATTAAGCTTGACCCCAAAAAATAAGATCAAGCTCCTTTCAAACCTACACAACAACAACCAAAACCAAAATAAGCCAACAAGTTACAATTAATTACCCTTCCTCTTTCAAGTTTTATATGCAACAGAGACCTAGTTCCAAAAAAAAAAAACATCAGAAACCCAAACTTCCGACATGCTAGAACATTTAGAGCTAAATTTGGAAACACCCCATCAGCTGAACCAGACAAAAATGTAGCAACAATGATTTATTATTGCCCCCAACCTAAAATCTGAAAATGGGAAGTTATATTTATGCAGAGAAATTGATCCAAGCGGCGAAACGAGTTCAAATGGGGGCAAAAACCCACCTCGCAGCAGTGATAAATAAGAGAAAATAGCGCGATTAAGAGAGAGAGAAAAACCCCTGATGGTTGAATTTGCAGAAGTAAATGGAGAGGAGGAAAAAGGGAAAGAAAGGGGGAGAAACTTTATAGTGGAAGAGAGAAACCCACCATTGAAAGGAGAGATTCCTTCGCTCTTCTCTTTGGGAAAATGGGTGTTGAAGAACCTTTTTTCTGCCTTTTTTTTTTCTTCT